GGGCCGGCTGGGCAGTCTCGAGGCCGGGAATGATCTAGGACGGTAGGACCAGTGGTGATCAGTCTTGCGTCTTGCGTCAAGGACTAGAAGTAGAACAAGGGGAAGAAGGAGAAGAAGAAGAAAAAAAAGGTTGGCGAAAATGTGGCTGTGAGCCAGGTCTCATCTCATCTTTTCGATCGGATATCCAACCAACATTGTCTCCATCATGACAACCACAGATCATAATACCTTAGGTACGAATCAATGCCAATAATAGTGCCACCTAGAATTCTACCGGGTCCATAATAATTACTGCACACTGATAGCAGTTGTAAATGAAGGGTAAGGTAGCGTAGCCGTTGCTGGCTGTCAATAAAGTCGTGCATGTTAAGGGGAGAACGGGGAAGAAGCAGCGGGGTCGCGTGCTTTTCGAGAGCGGGTTGACTTGCAGGTCTGCAGCAACCTGGAAGCGGGCCACCACAGCAAAGTATCTCACGGTCCTCAAATGTTAGCACGGTCATGAGAAGGAGGCAGCCACCCGGCCCGTCATCCAATGTTGTGTGCAGTGCATCCTCGGTTATGCACTAACAGAAGTGGACGGTCCACGATACGGTTGGTACCCACACCTGGGCCACTGGGCGCACCATCTCCACGAGCAGGTCCTATTCCTGGCGCAGCCCGCTGCAACCTGGAGCCCGGGTTCTCTGCACAGCCCTACTGTCCCTGGAAAAGAACCAGCCTCTCTCCTTGGTCGAGGTGGCATTGGATCGGGGGAAAAGCCTGGCACCAACTGAGGTGTGGACGGGTATCCGTAGTGTACTGCGTAGTGTACGGAGTACTGCGTACGCTACCTTACGGTCACTAGCAGAAAAGTCCGGAGAGATTGAATTGAGGGCACTGGCTTTCTGGCTGTGCTGTGCCGGCACTAACGCAATCCAAAGATACAGGGGCCGACACATTGGATTGATCGATGGAAGAGATGCACCTGGGATCCTGTAGGTATCAAGAGTGAGGCCTCTTGCTGCTGTCATATTCCTGCTTTTATGAATCCTTCACATGCTCGTCCTTCGTCCTCGGTTTGCATCTTCTTCTACATCTTCCACTCATGATCGCCAAACGCCCAAAAGCTAATCGCTGAACGACTTGGAGAAATACTGTCGACCGGTCGACCGTCAGAAAGCACTAATACGATAAAAGGAAACAGCCGAGTCCTGCAACCACGCAACATAGCACAAACTTCGTACTACCAAGAAAATCTTCCCAAGCAAACCACTCAATCCGTGTCTGATCGATCCATTATCGGCCAGACCAGACCGCACCGGCGACCCACCATCCATCCGCCTTACCTGCAGCCTACGTACTGCGCAAGGTGCATGCCTCTCACTCCAAGACAACACCTCACGCTCACCTTCTCGGGTCTCACCTCACCACCTCATCATCACTGCTGCTGAAGGAGCCAGAGTTGAATCCATCCACCCATTCATTCAACCACCCACAATTCATCACCAGCAGTTGATCGCCCAGTCGGACGAATCGAATAGCACACAGACTTCTTGGAAAGCCTCCGACCCGGCCCTCCTACGCTAAAGGAAGAACCGTCTTACCTCACCGCGCATCTGCGCTACAACCCACGCAGTAATTGGAACAGACATCCGGCATCTGACTTTCGAAAAAGAGCCGCCAGAGCAATCTTGGCCCCTCGTTCTTTCTAGGCCTGGTAGTAATAACACCACTTATACCAATATCCACATCCACATCTACACACTACAACAACGACAATAACCTCCGTCAATCCACGCCTTACAACGTCGCTCTTTTACCCCATTCACTCATCGTCAAAACTCACTCAGACCATCGACTACGCAGTACGGATACACTCTTGCGTCTTTCCCGAAAAACTTGCCAAGGTTGTCATTGCTTCCCGTCTTCCGTCGTCCACCGCCCACGACCTCCCCTGCTCAGGTCCTTCCTCTCTAACCCCCGTGGTCCCCCCCTCCTCCCCTTCCCTTCTGGTCCTTTTGGGTCCTTCGTCCTTGGCCCTTGCTCCACTGCCGCTTAGCGTCTCTTGGACTCCACCCCCCTCCTCCTCCTTCTCAAGTTCCCAGCGGACCCAGCCAGCTCACGCTCCAGTGGCTCCTGCACCTGCACCTTTCTTTCCACCTGGCACACCCCCGGTTCACACGACCACTGCCCCCCCGAAAGCCCCAAGCCCCAAGCCCGTGGTGTTCCGTCCTACCTCACCTCACCTTTAATCGGATAGGTACCTAGACGCTGGGCTTTCTCTTGCTGCGCACAAGGTACCGTTGCCTGCTGCCTTCGCCCCCCTCCCGCCAGGTCCCTACCTACTCCTACTCCGTACGTTAATTACTACGTATTCTTGCGCCTGTCAAACCCGGAGACAGCGAAGAAGCAGGAGAAGGGGAAAAAAGACAAGAGCCCTGTCCGTCTTTGAACAGATCAAACTCCTCATCCCGTTTCAGCTTCGCACCAACAACATCTTCGCATTCTCTCCTTCTCCAACAGCTTTGCCCCTTGCTGTCAACCAAAACCCAAAAACCCAAAAAAAACCCTTACTCCGTACCCGTCACGTCCTTCAGGGAAATCCAAAACTTAATCCCGTCACTTTCCTCTCCCTTTCTTTTGGCTTTCCTCCTTTGATCATTCGCGCCTGATTCCCTCTCGAATTTCCCGCCGACGGGGTCCTCCCTCGCTCTCCACTCGCTTTCGACACTACCGTTATCCCTTGACCACACGATTGAGACGAGACCACTCTGAGTCTCTTACTCCGGTTCCCCCCAAAAGAAGGACTTTCATTCGATCCGACTGTCCCTCTTACCGCCGCTGACGCCCGCCTTTGTGTGCCATCTCACACACCATCGCCCAACCCGACACACGACGTCTAGTACCTTCCGGCACGCAAACACGCACCCACCCAGCCTCCCTTCTCATCCGACGCTTTCCCACCACTTTTAAGCATCATCTCATCTCGACTCCTTCCGGGGAGTCGCCAATACCGTCGATCTGGCTACAAGGCTAGACTCCCGCCGTTCTTTGCTCGGCGGTGACCCGAACTTTGCCGGCTTCGACCAAGAACTCGCCGCCCGCCAGTACGCTCAACAGTATCAGCAACAATACCAGCAGCAATACAACCCCCCGCAAACTTCGAACAACCAAGGCTACGCTTTTCGTGAAGGTCTCGCTCCATCCACGATGAACGGATCGCGCCCCAGCAGCGGTGCCAGCGGCCCTCTCGGCTTCGGCTTCATGGGTGCAAAATGGCCCAGAATCTTTTTCCTCATCACCCTCGTCCAGGCTTTGCTTTGCCTGGGCTTTGAATGGTGAGTCGGCAATCCACCCTCACATTCGGAATGGATTGGTGCTAACAGCGATACAGTTATGTCTTCTGGAAATTCCAGACTGGTTTAACCGACCAGGACCCTCACCAAAACACAGATACCACCGATGCTACCGACTCGCCGAGAAGGACAATCCCGACATTTCTGACGCTCTTCATCTTTGGATTCTTGTACGAATTGGTCATCGTCTGGGATGCGCTACGGGCAAAGAACACCATTCAGGTTATCGGAGTGTGCATCGCCAATCTCGCTTTACTCGTCTACACTGCCATCCAGGTCGAGCAGATTGAGGAGGCTGTGCAGCAGCTGAAGGACAATAATGCCCTCCGGGACCCGACCGACGACATGTGGGCTGACGTCAAGCCTTACCTGGTCGCAAGCCCCTGCGTCTTGGCTTTTGGAACCATCACCATGGCCTTGACTGCCTGGAAGCTCTACCAAGTCTTTGCTTGGGACATTCTGAAGACTATAGGAGCCGACTACAGAATGAAGAAGCGTTTCCTCCACTACCAGGTACGTCACCGGAATCGCTTCCCTTGGCTTCGACATAGCTAACATGACATCTAGATTTATATCGCACTCCTGAAGTTCGATTTCTTCTTTTTCCTCGGTTTCACGGTTCAGTTCTTGGTTATCGTTAACGCCCGCACCGACGCCGAATTTGGATTGACCATTGCTGCGATTCCCATTACCATCGCCATTTTGCTTTTGGCCGCATGGTTCACCAGAATCGAGAATAAGGTCGGCATGGCGACTGTTCTCGTCCTCTACTTTGGCGGCTTGAGCTACTTCATCTTCAAGCTCGTCCGCATCTACCAACCACACACGGCCGAGCAGTACATGCCAGTGCGCAAGTCACTCACTGCTTTCACCGTCATCACCATTCTCCTCATCATCTGCACCATCGCCAACTGCGTAGTCTGCATGCGCAACTTTGGAGCCGGCCTGAAGACCCACCTGCGCAAGCCATCACGCGATCTCGAGAAGAGCCAGGACCTCAACTCGATCAACCTCCAGGATGTCAAGCCGCAAATTGCAAGCAGAATGACGATCGATTAAAGAAGGGGTGGAGCTGGCTTGACCCGACGAGGCAATGCACGATCAAAGAGATACCGCTCGATTGTACAAAGAAATGACTTAACGAAACAACGCCGCCTTTCTTATTCCAACAAAAAAACCCACTACGGGATCGTAGGCGGACGGAACGGTGGACACGCGGGGCCGGGCGCGTGTCGGACTGATTGAGATTCCCCATCATCGGCTGTTTTTTTTTCTTCACTTTTTTCTTGACTTTCTCGTGTGATACACACACTGTATGGCGTTGACGATGCTTGATCTCTCTCCACCCAGCGAGGATGAAGAAGACTAGCCCTACATGGCGGAGTTATGGATCTATTTCTACGTAAAGAGTCGCACCGGCGGCGGGATCCCGTCTGGGATATGACGATGGTTCCGGGAGCAGTCGAAAGGCTCCAACTTCCCATACGTATCTACGTCGCCTCGGGGCCACCGGGGGCAGCGAGATGCAATAAAATACCTTTCCTTAGTGTAACTTAGCGTTAGCATGAGGTAATTCAAATACCATGACGAAAGCCATTGTTCCATCCAAGAAAGACTGTTCGAATCCTACTCTCTGAGGCTTATTCCGACCTCATTCCAACTTTCACCAGGCCGATTCCGGCCCAGTCACTGCCGTCCTTGACTTTACGGCATTCGTCGAAGCATGCGAATGAAACACCAATACCACAAGAGCTGGTCACATTATTGACATGCGTTTGTATTACGCTCGCTCTATCCTACCTACTCAAAACAGTAGCCCGAATCGCTGTACCAAATAAGATTGCATCCGAAACCTAACGCCACCCAAAACGAAAGATTGGAGTGACCTGCCCCGCCGTTATTGATGAAAGCTTTACCCGTCGAACGTCAACCCTCAACGCCTGTCGTCCCGGTACCGGACATACTCATCTCGCCTAAAAAACAAGTGGCAACGTAGGCCATTGTGTCTTGCATGTCTTCCGCCATGGAGAGACCAGTGCGTTGATGAGATGTTTGTAATGTTCACACCTATCCTCCAACTCGAAGCCCAATTCGTCCTACAACTTAATCTCTCGAGCATCTTTGATGTGGCCCTCGTTGGGGCAATATGGACACTTGAAGCGGGAGCCCTTGGTCAGGCGCTGGAGTGACTCTTTGCAGATGACGTGGCCGCAGGGCAGCATCATTGGCGGATTTTGCTCTGTTGTTTGCTCTTTGCTCACGGGGCAGACGAAAATGGGGTGGTAGATCATGCTACGAGGTAGCGGCGTTTCGAATGCGAGTTCGCTTTCCGTCGTCCATTCCGTACGCTTGGCTTTTACGTATGTTGTGTACTTTATGAGTTGAGGCAGCGCGATGGCGCCGGCGGTAGCAGCGACATAGAGTGGTGATTCGGCGGAGAGGCCGAGAAGAGAACAGAACTCGCGCGTGAAGGATAGGGCGACGTCGTCAAAAGCGGCAGATGTCTCGAAGATGTTGGCATATGGCGACTGGCCAATATTGGATGCGTAGACCATGGCGCAAGATAGCTGCTGGATCTCCTTGATATGGCGGGTTTGGAAGCGGCCAAAGTGTCTTTGTGCGTAGGCCAGGGCACCTATCCGGCCGTTGCGCTCGTCATCGGGAAGACCGTTTACTTCGGGACCCTTGAAGAGCCAGACGAACTGGAGTTTGCTGAGCTCGAACTCCAGGTTGGAACCCCGGGCTTCGAGCTCGTCGCTGTTGAGGCGCGCCCACTCTATGGCTGGAACGAGGTTCCTATTCTTGAGCTCGTTGAGGATCTTGTACATGCTCGCAAACTTATCCTGCAGCTCCTGAGACTGAAGAGAGTGTATGTCTGCATCGAGGGCAGGGTTGTTGGCGGAAAGTGGTGGGGGTCGCTCGTGGGCTTCGCGGAGGAAAGTCGAGGCCACGCTGAATTGGCCTTCGCGGAGCATGTGCATCGCTACGGCGCGGTTGATTAAGGAGGGATACGCGGCCATGGCATCGTAGTCTGTCGAGAGTGGTCGGAGGGGGAATGACTAAAGAAACGGGTGTAAGTCGAGGCTCGTTCTGTGACGGGAGATGCTTCTTTGGATGCATACCTTATCAAGGGCCTTGCCATATGTTTTCTGGGCTTTTGAGACCTCTTTCAGGTCATTGTTTATTGCATCAAACCCCGCGGTAACGGGGTTCTGTAGCTTGGCCATCGTCAGGCCTGCTCGGTGCGGATCTGGGGTGCGGTATCATTGTGAGCACACGACCTGTGGCGGCACCATGGAGCGGGGCAAGTGACATACCATTGGCAACTTGCTCCCTCGCCTGGATGAGGAGTTCGAGGAGTTTGTCGGTGTCTTTGACGGCTGAGTTAAGTGTCGCTCTGCGGAAGCGCGAGAGCTCCGCCTGGAGGGTGACCATGGGGTTTTGTTCTGCCATAGTGGTGGCTGGATGCGGGAGGAGAGGAGGGTATATCCGTATGTCGTGATAAGTGAGCGAATGTATGGTATGTTTGCTTGCGTGTAGCTCGAGATTCGGGAGATTATGACGAGAAGATCATGACTACATGCTCCCCACAAAAGCTCGGCTTGGTGATGGGAGGGCTGCTCTTACTGTTTGTCGGAAGGGGGTTCACGGCGCAGGTTTGGTGGTCCGATGGTCTTGCTTTGGAGGTTGATGGATGAGGTTGAGGTAGGCACAGACCGACCTGTCCATCACCGATAATGGAAGCTAAGGTTCCTCGGCTGGCGGGTTCACTGATAAAGCGTCAGGCGGGCAACCCGCACCTATCTTGCGCCTTGGGGTACCTAGGAACCTCCATTCCAGTACGCTGTGCCTGCTGTAGCCGCTGTCAGTGTAACAGTGTCCCGGTCTTGTATTACTGGATCGACCTACCGGCGAAACAGCGGCCCGGGAATTCGAGCGATGGTTTAGCGAGGGGAGGCCTGAAAGCATGGGGAGGCAGGGGGGATTAGCCCGGCAGATCTGGGTCATTACAGACGTGGGGATGGGGAATGTTAGCGTCTGCCGCAGTACCGCTCGATTTCGTGCTACCCTTCTTTCAGTACTGGTCGTACAGCTCCTGGCCCAATCAACCAACGCAAAACCACGACAGCGACGGTAGGACATTGCGTCACATGCCGACCAGCCCTCCGAACAGAAAGAAAGGCACAACCTAAACGATCGAAGCGGGAGAACATTCGAAGCGCCAACGAAGCAACCCGACAAATACGCCCCCTTCTAGTCACATGCAGAGCATCCGCTGAACATTTCTTTGATTGCGCAGAAAACCCCCCTTTAGGCGAGCGATTACGACGACTATGACTTCTTCGTCTTGGAGATAGTCGCAGGCGCCTCCAAAAGTCTCGTCGATGCACCGAGTTTCACCGCCGCACTCCTGCAAATGGAGATGTCATTCCGCTTTCCCTTTCCCGTCAACGACCCGCGAATGCATCGCGAGGAGGAACTAACGCTGGCGAGAGTCGCTTCTCAGCGAGGTACCAATGGACCTTCTCCCCTGGGCACGCCCTTACCGCTCGAAGCGCGAAAGGAGGCCTCTACCGAACCCGCGACACCGTCCCCCTTACCGACGACGAAGAGGAAATGGGTGTTCGCGGATCCTGTAGCCTTTAGGTGAGCTCTCTCGTTCCCGGCTCCGAGATGAGACCGCGTGCTGACAGTCTCCAAGATATCTAGAGAGCGATCCAGCGGTCACGGTCCTCGAGCGACGAGGAATCTTGCAGGGATACGAGCTATACTTGGTCGAACAATGGGCATGTTCACGAAAATCGCCCACGCTGGTCATTGTCACGTACACGGGTGATCCGAAGCATCAGGTCGTTGTTGGGGTGCTGGCCGTCCCTGCGGACGAGACCGTATGGTCCGACCGCTTGCGATTCTACTTCAAGGCCATCCATCAGTACCATGCCCGCCCAAAGGAAACGCCGTTGGGCGACGTGATGGTTACGAATCTCAGCAGCTTCCCCTCAGCTCTGACAGTTATACCCGTACCCGAGGGCGATATCCGCACCCATCGTCAGGCCTTCATCGTCAACGAGAACCTCAAGCGACTGGGATGCTCTGGCCGATCTGGCATGAATCTTTCAGACCCCACACCTGCAACCCAGGCCAAATTTTACCAGCTGTACAGGACAAGTGAGAAGGTCCCCTTTACCCAGTCGGCAGTGGAGCTTGTCAAATTGTGCCAAGTCTCTCTCTTCATGTTTGGGAAACTGGACATGGAATACATTGATGGCTTACTTTGCGACAAGACTGAAGAGTCTATCGGAAACTGGTGGACAGAGATTGGCGCCGAGTGTTACAACGTTGAGCCTACAGACGGTATCCTGGGTCCGACGACAACGGCAGCCCTGCTTGGACTGCTGATGGGCGCCAGAAATCGACTGCACTACTATGGTGCACCTGTGTCCAAGGACGTCTTTGACATTGAAAGCACGAAAAGGGGCATCGGGTACTTCCAGAAGGCGTACAAGCTTGAGCGGACGAGACGGCTGGATCGTCCGACAATTCTCAAGCTTCATTCTGTCACGGCAAAAGCTGCTGCCGGCGAAGGCTGGGGTGTGCAGAAGGCGGTCAAGTCCACCGTCGCCGAAATTGGCGGGAAAAGGGGCGAGCTTGTCATCGGCATGGTCGGCGGGAAAGACAAGGCCGGCATAGCTGATATCGAGACGGTAGACATTGACAAGTTCATTGCCCTGGCGTACGGCGAGCGCGCAAAGTGGCTCTGGTACGGCAAGCCCAGGAGGGCAGTGCCGGAACTACAAGAGAAGCCGACAGACGTGGCGCAGCCGCTTTTCGGAAAGGATGAGGTTGCACCGCCGTCTAGCAAGCGAACACAGTCATTGCCGCTGGAAGAAGAGCTTCAGAGACAAAAGGAAGAATCTCCTGGTGTTTACTCAACCCCGGCGCCAGCCTCAGCTGTTAGTGTGGTTGAAGGATCGGGAGAGAAAGACGCGCTTAGGAAGACAGTCTTCAAATCGGTTGCTGGCAGAGTCAGTGATGCCAAATCTGGCCTCGGGCGCATAAAAGATGTTGTTGGTACCGGCCTGAGAGGTCACGCGAGTCGTCCCAGTAGAGACGATTTTGGTGAAAATGGCTACAATAGCGCTCCCGGCATCTCGGCTTTGGCGCAGTCCTCGGCAACGTTGTCGTCTCCGGTCATGGTTGGTAGGGCCTTCACGTGGAAGAACAAGCCGGAGGAGTACCTGAATGCCTTTAAGAAAGAGGCAGAAGCTGCCCAGGATTTGAGGGAATCGTCACAGGAGCTTGAGAAGGTTCCCATGATTGCCAAGCCTACGCGCGAGGGGTCAGACCCAAGCTCGACACATGTCGAGGCGGAGAAATTCTCTACACCCCCTAATGGCCCAGTCAAGGACGAACCTGATCGGATACAAACATCGGTGGCAGGTTCTGTGGTTGATGAAGCCGATCTCCAAGGTCCTTTTGAAGCAGAACGAACCAGTAACACAGCCGTCAGCTTCCTCCAGCGGCGGCATAGTGTCGCTGTCTCCAGACTCAGGTATAAGCATCCCTTGAATGAAGCCCGCTGGCCTCGGCGGCTGTCATTTGGAGATGCCGAAGAAGCGGTTCTCAGATGGGAGGAAATCACCGAACTCTACGATGACAAGCACTTCTCTACCGCCGATGCGCTGCAGCAGCAAGCCAGCCTGGCCGAGTTCGCCCGAAGCTTGTACGATTCCATCGCCACCATCAAGCGCGAGGTCAACCCCTGGGTTGAGTCAAAGGTCAAGGCCGTAGACGCCCTCGACGAGCACTACGGCCGCGAGCAAGAGGACTTGCAAAACCTCTACTACCAGCTCAGCGAGGCCTACCACCGCGTCAAGCAGAGCTCGACGGAGCTCATCGCCGAAGAGCGCGCGCACATCACGGAGGCCATTAAGGAGGTCGAGGTCCTCGTGGCACGACTTGAGTACGAAATCAACGGGCTCGTGAGCAAGGTGGACGACGTTGAGGACGGTGTCAGGCTGTTTGAGAGACAGGTCGAGGACGTGGAGAAGCGCGCCGAGGAGCTCAAGGCGACGCTCGAGACGGAGAGCTGGGCGCACTGGTTCGTGCGGACGCTGACGGGTATCGGTACAGGGCCGAATATTACGAGGGGCTCGTGAGGCGAACAACTAGATCTTTTGCAAGAAGAAGGACAAGGACAAGAAGAGATGGTGGTCTTTGGGCTGCATAGCGTGGTTCGTTTTTCATTTTGGTTCGCATCGGGGAAAATACCCAGCAAGGACTTTTTTTATGGCATCATTATATTGCGGGATATCTATCAGATGCTGTATACTTAGGCGCAGGATGACATATAATCGCCGGTTCGAGGTTCACTGTGCTACTAGGGAAATATCAATAATGTCTCGGTCACGTGCGTGTTGTGAAGGTTGACGTGCTTCCCTCTGGGGGGGTTAAAATGCTGTGAAATTGTGTCCCATGATTAAGTTATGCATGCCAAACAGCCGAACACGATGCGCAGCTGGTCCCTGAGCCAATACAGGGGCCAATACTGGATGGTACGGCCAGGAGCTTCGAGGGTGAAAGCCACGTGGGAACGAACCAACGTTCTTCGCCCGGATCTGTGACGCCCGTGTTGGTGAGGGAAAACCAAAAGGGGGGGGTGGGGGGGTGGTCTTTCCAAAGGAGCTTCTCGAATTTGACTACTGAGGGCAACTCTTGCGTCTTGTTAGACTTGTTCCTCTTGCCGGCAATTGTGTGATATTCCATAATCTGTGAGGTCTTTCAGTTGGGATCTTGTTGCTCTTACGCATGCCTTTTGTCCTTCTGACATCTCGTTGCCTACGTTATCCTAAAAGTTTCCAATCGTCGACGTTCTGTGTCGCTTTCCCCGTTTCACTTTGGTCTGTTGCTGTTGTTGTAGCAGGCTGACATCGAGGAAGAACGAGAAGTCCATAGATAGGAGGCGGGCTATGATGTCGTTAAGGGTGTCAGGAATACAGATCTTATGCAACTGGGGATTATGACAACTTATCAAGTTAGGCTCTAGATATGAATACTCTATGACTATCAAAGATTGAAGATATGAGAAATGTCCCTGATTTCAGATTCCACAGAAACCATCATGTAGGAAATGGATAACATCGCTTCCAGGGCGATAAAGAGACTAACACATTCTCGTCCTCATCGTCTTCTCTCACAGCCCATAGTATGCCCACTGCAGCTCGTCATAGAGCTGTGTGATGACACGGGGTGGTGGACATGCCAGTCACTGCTGGAATTGGCATCATGAAACGATACTAAACGGCGATAATGCTCGCCAGGCATCCATGTATATCCTGTAACGAATATTCAGGATCTAGAAGGAAGTAGAAAGAGACGACACCGAATAGTAACATCCTACTTAACGTTGGGATGCTCGAGTGAATGCCCAACCCCTGAAAAGCTTTGTGATTTCTCTGCTCACTCAGGTTGTTTGAAGTACGCCACTGCGGCTCTCATTATCGCGACCGCGTGGAACACTCACTGGCTCCCTTCAGAAATCATTTACTACGAAATTCAAATAACTACCAACACACAGGTAGTCCTATAAGTCGTCGACTGACGGCTGGTCCCCAGCCTAGGTAGAAGAGCATGTAAGTCGAGCGTGCTCGTATCTTGGATGCTCGACGAAACGAGGTTAACGGAAGCTGCCATCGTCATCAAATAGACAGAACTGGACTGAGGACGCAGGGTTGGTAGGATAAAATCTTTGCCTACTGTCTTACCTAAGCGATAGCTGTGACCTTCATTGTCTTCCTTGATGATGTGATGTACTCACGCCCCAATACATAAGTCCCTGCGGTGAAAAAAGGCTTCAGTATATCTTCATTATATCAGATACGCATCGTCTACTTCATCTCTATTTTGTCTAGCCATGTAATGCTCTCCCGCCAATTGAACCCCCCTTTTCATTTCCAGACCCCTCAAGACCTCCAATCCCAAACCTCCAGCCCAACACCGCCGACAGCAACCTTGCCATCCCCAATAATCTCAATATCGCCGGCATCCGCGACGCCGCTATACTCGTCCGCCAACAATGTAATCTCCTCCACGCCCTCGCGCCATCCGAGCCGCCACATCTTCACCCGCTGGTCATTACTGACCGTCACAAAGTCTATCCGGCCTCCTCGTTCTCCGAGGACCGTGAGACCGTTGATGGCCGCCGCGTGCGCTTTCCTGACACCGGCTCTCGTCCAGTTCTCGAAACCGCCGTCATTCATGTTGTCAGCGTCGCTGCTGCTGCTGCTGCTGCTGCTGCTGTCTGAAACGAGTGTGACGATGCCCAGCGCGTTGTCGTCGCCGCCAGTAAGGACCACAACCCTGTCATCGGTGGTGAAGTGCACGTCCAGAGCCTTGATACTACTCTGGTGAATCCGCTCCGTGTGCCGCAGAACGTACTCAGACCCCTGAGACCGCCAGACGGCAAGACACCCGTCCGTCGCGGCTGTAATGACATCAAACACGCCCTCCCGGACCCGGAGATGCCGCGCTTGCGTCAGGCAGGCGCCGGTGTACTGGCCCTGGAAGAGTAACTCGAAGCCTAGGCCGGGTGTATACCGGTAGGTCTTGACAAACGAGTTGGAAAAGGCCATGGTGACGGCAACATTGCCGTTCTTCTCATTATCGAGCGCCACGACGTCAAAGCTCGTGATGCGGAGGTCCCCGTCCTCGCTCTTATCCGCAAACACGGCCTCGCGCATCAATCCCAACCCCCGATCGCCGAGATCACACGCCCGCCAGACCATAAACTCCTCGTTTCCGCTGCAGCTAAAGAGCAGGTCCTCGCCGAGCCACTTGAGGGACTGTAACCCTGCGGTATGGACCTTGACGACCTTTACGCAGCGCAGCCCCCGGTTCTCATCAGGCGAGGAAGTAGCTCCGGCAGCCGTGGTATATTCCCAGATGCGAATCGAAGTGTCCTCAGAGCCGGTGGCGATGTAGCGACGACGACGCCCAGAGTGCCCAGAGTACGCGATGGCGCGGACCTCGCGGCCGTGTGACCCGCGCTTGAGGGTGCGGTGGTGGGTTGCGGCGACGGAGGGGCTGTGCTTGGTGAAGACTCCCAAGGTCGCAGCTTTGTTGAAGACGAAGCGCATACCATGGACTCGGTCCTTGTTACTATCACTATCAGTGTTTTTGTCGTGGTGGCTTTGTCGGGTGTAAGCAAAAGCACGGTGCGCGCCGCCGCAGTCGACGCGGAGAATCTCCTCGTGCCGCGTCTCGTTCCACACGATGAAGTTCTTACTGCGGAAGCCGCAGAGAATCAGATCGCCGTTGTCAGACAGCCACGCATCTTCGAGGTTCGGCACCGCTGCGGGCGCGGTCTCGTGGCGCAGTTGGATCGCGGAGTCGGAGGTCTCGTAGACGCGGTAGTTTCCGTCGCGGCTGGTCGTGATGATGTGAGATGCCGCCGCACCAGAGGTAGAAGACGTGGGTAAGACGTTGATGGATGTGATTGCATCGCCGGAGCGGCGGTCCGGTGCCGGGAACGGGATGAGCTGCTGCTCATCCTCTACGCGGCGAAACACGGACACGTAGCCGTGGCGCGAGCCGAGGACGAGGAGATCGTTGATCTGGCAGGCGGCCGTGACGACGAACCTGCTGTCGAGCTCGGGGACGGGCACCATGGAAGTGACGGCTGCGGCGTCGAGGTCGAGCGTGAGGATTTGCATGGCGTCTCCGCTGCCTAGCATGGTGACGAGGAACTCGAGCTTCTTGTCCGATGCCCCGCCGTCCTCTGCCGGAGATTTTCTCAGGGGAAATATGTCTGCTACTTTCCCGGGTACCGTGCCGACTTGCTGGATGGTCGAGTCGCGATGGAGTAGAATCTTCTTGTTGGCCGTGCCGATCAGAGCCAGGCCCGGCGCCGGGCTCTTCAAGCTCGTGCAGGCATTCAGGGCGCGCAACGTCTCGCCGTCGGTCCCGATCTGCGCCCACGTGAGTTCCGGTCCAAAAGAGCCGACGAGGAGGCGGCCGGTGGTGCTCGTCGCGACAATGGTGTCCTCGTAGACGAATGCGAAACGCTGAAAGGCCTCTTTTGTTTCCAAGGGGATCGCGTGGTCGGGGCTTCGCGGCGCCAGCTTGCTGACCACGTCCCGCATCACCAAAGTCTGCAGTTCGCTTGGCAGTTCTTGCAGCTTGGAGGCCGTCGTGCTGATATCGCTACCGCTGCCGGTGCCGGTGCCGCCAGCCGCCCGCGAACGGTCCGAGAAGAGATTGATTTTACTATCCGCGCCTCCCGTGGCGATCAGAACCCGCCCGTCAGCCTCCTCCGTGACGGCGGTAGCCCAGATGTGTTTCCCGTCGTGGCGGGCATACGTCTCCTTGTACGTGATGCTCGCAGCGATGATCGGCGCCTCGCAGCCCTCGACCGTGGCGGCCGACTTTGCAGCTCTCCGCCGCCACGCCTCGAGGTCGACGTCCAGAGACCAGGCCTGCAGCGTGGAGTCCTCGCCAAAGGAGTACACCGTCACGGGACGGCCCCGCGCCAGCTCGTCGACGCCTCCGAGCGGGAACCTGACGTGCCAGATGCGCGAAATGTGGCCCATGACCATGGTCAGGGGCGCGCTGGAGGCGACCTGCGTTGTCGTGAGATCTGTGGCAGCAGCAGCAGCAGCAGCAGGGGCAGACGAAGAAGAAGAACCTCCGAAACCCGTCTCCCTAGCCTCGCCAAAGGCGTCATACTGCAAACGCGGCGAGCCAGGTCTCTCGGTGATATCCCAGATGCGAATCGTCCGGTCGTCACTACAACTGGCGAGCAGTCTCGCCGTGCACCCTCCGCCGAGGTCGATCTCGCGCGAGATATCGACGCCAAAGATGGATCCCTCGTGGCCCGTGAAGACGAAGAGAGCCTCGCACCAAGGCTTCATGCTCGCCGCGTCCTCTCCAGAGGCAGTTGCGGCGCCGTCGCTACTGGAGAAGTGGCATTTCCAGACAATAATCTCGCCAAAGACCGTGCCGCCGGCCACGAGCACAGAGGTCTCTGATAGCCACGTCAGGTTAGCCGAGTACAGGATCGGCCGGGACGGCGACACAATACGACCAAACGAAATCGTCTTCCCATCAGCTGCCACGGAAAACTCGAGAACTTCGTTGTGCGCCGTAATGAGCACGCCGCGGTCCGGGTCCTCGGGGCAGATGACGCCGTCGTAGATCCAGTCCGGCGCCTTGGCCTCGATAATCTCTACCGGTGTCGCCGCCACCACGGCCTCATCCTCACCACCACTACCGAGGATGAGCTCTTCGATGACGGCAGCAGAGACGACGGTCACGGCTTGGTTCCCCCAGAGCAGCACGTGCCGCCGCTCACCATGCCCGGCAGCGGCAGCAGCGACGTGAATGCCGTGGATGGGTTGGGCGTGGAAAATCCCGAGCTGGCACCGCAGCCGGCCCTCGCCGTCGTACACCTTCAGCTCCGTGTCCTCGCCGGCGAGCAAGTACGTCTCGCCATCCCTGGCGTTGAAGAAGCTGAGGCCGGTGACGGGGGTGAAGTAGTGATCCCTCTGCAGGGGTCCGGCTACGAATTGCTGTTTCCGTTCGTTAGCTTGTAGTACATATTTCCTCACTTCCCCTTCTTTCCTTTTGATACGGGAATACTATTTTAAGAGTCTAGGGGGCATGGATTACTAACTGCATGGTGACGGTTCATGAGGAGAAAGAGCGGGCAGCCGTTCAGAAACCGGCCTGCCCAAGTCGGGTAATATCTGACTCTCTGTGTGTCTTCACTTGGCTAAGGAGAAAAAAAAAGTCTCACTAGAGGGGTTGTCCTAGCGTTTAGAAATAGCGAGAGGTCTGAAGCGGTTACGTTTCTTGTGAAAGGTGGTTGCCTAAGGTCCCAGGAGCATGATGCCAGTCTTTTGCGGCTGAGCTGAGCTGGGCTGGTTGCATTAACGGTCCTTCCTCCGGTCAGCACTTGATGGTGGTTAGGATGTAATGTGGTGGATCGAGTCATCGTCCACCCCTCTGCTGATTTTGGCGGAGTTTTTTTTTTTTTTTTTTTTTCACTCTGGTGGTCTTTTCCTGTGAGAAATTTCGAGGTGTTCCTTTGACAGTGTCAATACACCGCAAATTGCACGTTGTTTGGGATTTGCCCACCATCTCAGATGCAAGTCACGATTCAATTGTAGGATAGTGCTCTCTCACATGAAACCTACACATTTCACTTTGCCAGGGACAGAAATATTTTGTAAAACTCTAGTTTGTTTTTTGTAATTGCTCATTGAGCATGTTGGAATTCTATAGACAATAAAGCCTGGATGGGGGTATCTCCAATCCCGAGCAGTCCACTAAAGCAATCAACTGTCGTCATCCCCCCTGACGATCACCTTCGTCCCAAAGCTACTAAACATTCATATCCACCTCCGTGCGTTTCTGTCGTTCTCATGATAGTGAGCCGTTACCCAACGCCAACAATGCTGAAAATCAAAAGTGCTGCCAAATCAAACGGCTTCCCTCGTACAAAAGATTACCACACCGTGAACTCTCAAGTGCTAAACTTAAGAGCGGTGGGAGTAAGGCTCGTAAGCAGTGTCACCACGGGCACCGCTGGCGTAGCGGGGAGCACCGTACTGGGTAGCCTGCTGCTGCTTGTAGTAGCCGTTCTCCTCGTGAATGGGCTGGTAGCTGCTGGACTGGGGAAGAAGCTTCTCGCCATCGCTGTTGCGCTTGCGGTCCTTGCGGGTGTGGCTGGGAGCGCAGCAGCAGATGGTGAACATCCAGAAGAAGCCGGCGCCGAGAGCGAGAGCGGCAGAGATCCAGATGAGAGCGAGGAAGCTGTTGTTGAAGCCGGCAGAGACACCGTAGTACTTGGCAGTGCCCTCAACAGCGCCAACGACGATGACAGACATGGCGGTGGAGAGAGCGGCGGAAGCGCAGACGGCGACGGAAGCGAGAGAGGCGACGAGGAAGGTGATGCAGGACATGACGCGAGTGCAGTTGGCGAAGATGCCGAAGACAATCTCAAGGCCCAGGGCGATGAAGGCAATAATGTAGGCAACCTGAGTCCACTTGGTGGCGGTCTTGAAGGCGGAGAGAGCGGTAGTAACCTCATCGGGAAGCTCGATCTTGCGGCCGGCAGCGGTGCCAATGGTCTCGAGAGTGGAGGTGTTCAGGTAGGATGAAGCCCAGTCAAACTTGGCCTTGGTGCAGGTCTTGTCGCCATTGGTGTCGGTGGTGCAGTAACCCCAGAGAGCGATGTCGTAGAGGTTGTCGAGGCCAAGGTCGGCGGCGGTGATGTTGCTGGTCTGAGCGGTGGAGGAGTCGGTGGCAGCCTTGGTGATGGCGTTGTCACCATCGCCGGTGAGAAGAGCGCGGTCGTGGTACTTTCCAAAGTTGACTGCCTTGACGTCCCTTGAGACTATACTTGATACGGAAGCAGGGTTGATTTCGAGATCGGTGAGGTTGACGCGGAACATGTAAAGGTCCTTGTTGGAAACACCGCCGAGAGCAGCGACCAACAGGAAGATCATGGAACCAACGCTGAGAATGAATGGCAGAGCCACGCAGATAACACGGCCGACACCCATTTTTGCTGTGTTGTTGAAGATTGTTGTATAAGAATTTAAAGTTGTAGTTGTTTGCAGATAGGCCGATTTCGGTAAGTGGGTCGTCGGCTTGTCGTCAACGAGTGTAACTAGGAAAGCAACGATCGTTGGTAGGTGAGTGGTGTGTGTATGTAAAGAGGAAGAGAGGGGGACAAAAGGGAAGATGGGGAGCCCTTTTTGAGAGTAGTGTGTATGCGAGAGAGAGGCAAACGGATGTGAGTGTGATGAGTGTCAGAAGTAAGAGGCTGACACAGACGGACGAGCGTTGATGTTTATAAAACCGTAGGAAGAGGGAGCAGGAGCGCAGGTGCAGGCTTGGAGGTGCCGTTACGTATTTTTGCGTAAGGCACAGTACGGCAAGGAAGGCGCAGGGCGGGCAGGTTGGGGCACTTGCATTTTGCTTTGCTTGGGGGTGGACGTGGGTGGGCAGGCCGCAGTGGGTGGGCAGTGGACAGTGGGCACCGTGGGAAGCGGAACATGGACAGGGACGCGGACGTGGCGCAGTACCGCGAAGTCGCGAACAGTGAACACGGCACCAGCTTTTTTGGTGGAGATGGGACGGCTACTACTACCATCACTGCAGAGCAGAATGTGATTAGGTAAGGCAGCTATTCACTTTTCTTCCAACCTATTCGCACACACAGCAGCAGTAAGGCAAAGATTGCGTTGCTGACGGGCTGCACAATAGCGGGCCACGACTCAGCCCCCGGCTTTACTAGGAACACCCATGACCCTTGAGAATCCCTCGACCGAGCAACGGCGTCGACAGGACAGCCAGACCCCAGGCTGCCAAATAGCAGACGGGAGCCGAACCGTAAACTAACGAGGTGCGGGAGCGTGCTGCTATGCTACGCTGCAGTGCTGTGGCTCCCTCCTCCACTCTTTCTCCGAGCCTCTCTTCTTGACGTGTGGTGGTCCTGGTGGTGGTGTTTTTTTTTCGTCCTCTTCCTCCCACATGCCGTGCGAAAACACTGTATCGAACGCGACTCTCGAATCATCATCCATGTCCGCACATGTCCGCGAGGCATTCACGCATTCAACTTTGCCGTCTTGGCCTTTGACGATGGAAATGACCGATGCAGCACCTTCCAAACACTGCTGTGTCCGCTCCAGAAGCTCTACTACTCTATTCTGTTCTCTGTGTCAGGACACAGACATTGAAGCCAGCCGGGGACAGGATGGGGAAGGCCTGGAATTAGGAATAGAGGTACGGATAGATGCTGACAGCCTGACAGGGATGCCCATTCGTAGGGCAGCGTGGGCAGGTAGGTGCCGCGGTGACGCCACAGGCGAGTACCTCTCTGGCTGTGCTGCCTGCGCACGGGTACCTTCTGACACTGGCGTCAAACCTTGCACACCTTCACACCTGTAGGTTGTCGAGCCCGGGATTCTGTTCCCTCGAGATCCTGCTACTTCAGCTTCACCAGACTGCTTCAACAGATTCAACTTCGAATCGTCAATGATTTCTCCGAGATATATATGTAGACTTGGGATGTTTCGGACTATATGCATGCCAATCGTCATCATTGGAAGTACGGGATGTGATGCCGGCCAGTCTATGAGTTGAGTTTGGGACGACTTTTATTCGGACTAGGAAGTAACAAGGTCAATCTCACCGTACAGCAAAGCCGCCGCAGATTGATTGAACGTAGAGCCGGGCCAAGAGCCGGCCAAGAAACCATGGAGCTGAGCTTAGAATATGCTATTGTAGAGATACCTACCTAGGCCCGAAGAAGATAAACGACCTAAAGCGAGGGCGTTATGGTAAAGCCGATATGTGGGTGACTTATTATTCCCGAATGGCGAAAGGTGTTCGGAAGTTGGAACGTTTCCACTTTGTGTGCTTTGCTTCTCTCATCCCGTCGTACGCGTCCATCGCCTCGAACCTCTCATTCGTCCTTGGCTTTTCGTGGCCGGTCGGACTCGTGGAAGTTCGGGAAAGATGAGATGGAACGGCGCACCAAGCATCATCATCGCACACTGTTATCACTGTATACAGCCGTGTACAGCGCTTCGAACAGAGTTTAGAAAAACATGAACCCCCGGCGGGCCAGCCAACCCCCCAAATCCCATGGAGAAACATGGGAATGAGTGGTCCCTGTCTGATATCACCATCCTTGGGGAACAGCCGATCGCTAATGTGTTGCTTGAGGGATAAGTAAACTAGAGGCGACTAGAGCAAGAAACAAAACAAGTCCAACAGGTTCAATGTGCTCATCAGAGTCGCATCTACATCAACGATGTACCTTGATCGGCAGCCCGTCTCGCTGTGTGACACGTCCCAAGCTTGCTAGTTGGGCTCCATCCGTCCACGCAATTAAAGTGGTCCAGGGGTTCGTCATCCTGCGGAGGCTCAGCTCTGTTTTTCTTGTGCTCCTCCTTCTCACGACTGAGTGCGGGAGAGAGAGAGAGAATTACGGCAGCACAAAAGTGGCCTAGTGTAGTTTTGTAACACTCTGCACTACAGCAATTGGCACCGGATAATTCAATGCCCACGTTCCGAATTTTCTTCTTTCTGCCATAGGTCTCTACTCTGTACCTTACTGCGCATTTACGAATACAGCCAGCCCAGCATCATGGGCATTTCGTCCCCTGTACGGATATTCGTAGTCAGCTCAGCCCCACGGGACGTGCTTGGTAACAACCGGCTATCGAGTTCGAGCTACCTTAGGCTGGCCGACAGGCTGGGCTGGGTGAGGTGGTATTAATGATGGTGGCTGGTCATCTTTTCGGGCTTCGCCAGATCGCCCACTCAGAAGGTGGACCCGCTTCCCTTTCCCCCCAAGGGCCCCAAGTTCCCAACCCGTCTTTTTCCCAATTCCCACTAGCACCAGCCGATGAGGCGGAATGGAACCCTCTTTTTCTCTGTGTGTGTCTCTCCCAGCTAATTTTAGAAACATCTTCCCGTCTCTTTTCTTCTTCCCTCCCACAATTCGTCCAACACCACCCAACTGCCAACCAACCGGGCCACCAACGCCCGGGTTCAACAACCACTTTCCGGTCGTCGGCGCCGAATCACGTATCGCGAGGCTCAGTTTCAATACGGGGCCCTCCCGAGGGTCTTGTGGCTCCAGGCTCTCTCAATTTTTTAAGGTTGCCGAGCTTTTTCTCGAACAACCTAACAAAGCGATCTTGAACCCATTGTCATTGGCTGGCCATGACCTCTCGACCCGTGACGAAGCCATCACCGCCACTATTGTCCAGCGCAAACTCCAGGAACAGGGCCCGAACCCGTAGATTAGCTCCCGTGCCGTCCTCGCCTACCTCGGCGAGAAAATCAAAGAAACATGAATCCACTCGACCAGCTTATCAATGTACATTATCAACCTCTGCTGCATGCTGCGCGGCGGCGACATTTTGGCCTGCATCCGAAAGAGGGGCCGTTGATGGCTCTTGTTGACCAAAACCCCAATTCCCTTGGCCCCG